AACCAACAATTTTTGGATGATAAGACATGTGGTAATCATGAGCCAACATGTGCACATTCTTCACTGTTAAATGAGTTCCTTGACCAGATGCACGTAAGGTCTTCTTTGAGTCTAAGTATGTGGTACATTCACATAATAGGGACAATGATATATCTCTACTTTCCAATCTGAGGGCTACATTGCTCCTCTTATTTTTGTTAAGACCATGATTATTTTTACACATGGAATCACTGTATAAAATTGAGGATAGGCCAAAGTGAGTGAGAATGCCATGGTCCAGCTTGGGGAGATAAGTGAGGAGAAACCAAAGCAAGTGGCAGATGCAATAGCTAAGCACAGAGAATTATTCAGCACCACTTTACTTTCAAGATGGAAACTTCACATTTATCTATTCCATGTCAGTTCTGCAAATGTTCATGTCTTCAAAGAAAAATATATGTAAAAACAGTAAGACTAGATGGCTCATAATCAATCTTTAAGGACATACAATCCATCTTCCAGAGCTCAGAATAACTCAGAGACAAAATGTTAGACATATTAGGAAAGTGAATTTAATGAACAATGCATTATAATTTGCATAATATACAAGATGGACATACAGCTTTAGTCTAGCACAAACTCCATTCAGAAGCTTAGAAATAAATATATTAAACACTTGATTATTATTATTACTAATTTTATACTAAACGTGCTAAGGTAATTAAATAGGAACTTTGTAGGCAACAATAACAAGATAGCCAAATGAATGCAGAGTTCCTATCATCTCTTGACAGTAAAACATTGATATCTCGCTGTTCTATACTTTGAGTACCTTATACTTAAAAGCAAACTTAAATATATAAATATAGATTTATTACACTTCAAATTTTGCGAAGAGAATTAATATCATTTTAAGTGCACTTACCACGGGAAACATTGAAGTATCACATCACAAAAAGACATGAAAGAACTTTAAATGCATATTGCTGAGTGAAAGAAGCAAGTCTATAAGGAATCTTTGTCGTGTTTAAGCATTAATCAAGGCAAGCAATACTCTAAAACAAAGCATGGGCCTTTTAAGTATTACCTTAAATTAAAAATAATGTCCAAGTATTGTCTCATCAATTCTAATAAATGTGCCACACTGATACAAGGGGTAACTAGGAGAAACTATGGAGATGGACAGTATATTAAAATGCTCTGTAACTTCAGCACAGTCTTTCTATAAATCTAAATTTTCTCTAAGAAATAAAATCTACTAACTATAATTGGGAAAAATAAGTCAACTTTCTACCAGAAAAAAAAGTTTAAGAGAGTACATTGGCAAACAAATGAATGTGTCTAAAGATTTTTCATTCTGTAACAAAACTGGGGGAAATTGCTCCTTTTATTTTTCTGAAGAACAGTTCTGACTCTGTGTTCAGTGATTCATAGATGTTCATGAGACATTGAAAATGTGCCTTCTGTCTGTAATCCACTAAACCCACAGACTCATCTACAGGCCTTAGAGAAAACCTTTGCTTGCTCATTAGTACAATGCTTACTCCAGAAACAGGAGAACCAGTGCAGTCACAGAGCCAGGCTAGTAACTGGCCTGATGAGGAAATGTATTTCCCAGATCAGTTCAATTTCGTTTTGGTGCTAAATACTGAATCCAGGGCCTCACATGTGAGGCAAGGGCTCTAACATTGAGCTCCAGCTCACATCTTTAATTTTTTTTTTGAGACAAGATATTCCTGAGTGACATAGCTGACCCCAAACTTGTGATCCTCCTGCCTTAGCATCCTGAGTAGATAGGGTAATAACTGTACCCCACCACTTTATGTCTTTGATGTCTTCCTTAAATATTTGTATGGCATTTATATTGAGGCACACTTTAGTGATGGAAGAGATACAAGTTCCTCTTTCTGCTTTGCTCTTAGAAATTTATATCTGGTCCAAACTGGCATATAATATTCAGCAAAACAAACCCATAATCCTAAAACTGTCATTAGAAAGCAATTTATGGCTCATGAATTGCTCATCAGGGATAGGATCTCTACCTCATCTATATACTCAAGCAGCTATTATGTTTTTCCCTGTTAATGCCATATTCTGCTGAGAACAGTTCCCTACTTCATCATCTTCCCAGTGATGTTCAGTGCCTTTTAGGACCTCTGGAAACTGCCTGAGTACCTTGCCTCTTTACGTAGCTCTGATAATTCATGTGTTTTTTATTGTAATTTTTTATTATTTTAATTTTAAATAGCTTGTTTTACATATGTTTTGCAAGTAAATAACGTTAACCTGGGTTCTCAGGTGACAGGGAAGAGTTTTAATTGAGTAATGAAATTTCCAGAAACCTATGGCCAAAAAACAGTGATGGGATATCCTAAACCTCTGTGTATATTCCATTAACCCCAGGAACACCAGAAAGAGTGGGAAAAAACCTAGATATCCCTTTTTATATGCCAGCTAGAAATCAATAATCTGTCTCTTAAAATATCTACTTATTAAAAGAAGACGTATTCACAGTTCTTAATCAACTGCACAGTTCTGAGTGATTGACACAACTACTTGTGATGTAATGGCTTCCTTTCTTACTTGTTTCTAAAAGAGAACGAATGAAAATTATGTCTTATGGTTGCATTCCATCAACTCCTATGCAGTTTTACAAAGAAGTTTGAATTTTATGGTGTCCAAATAAAAACTTGTTAAGTAAAAAATTATGTATAATTATATTCCCTTTATTGGCATAAGTATATTTAACAACAGAGATAACACATACATAGTTCTCTGACCTCTTAACAGATTCTAATGACTTAAACTTTGCTTTAATTATGTGCCTTAATTGCAGCCTCATTTAAAGAGAAAGGAAAACAGACAATTTTCTTCTCGTGTTAAAATATTGAATAAAAATGTAAGCATTTTGGCACTTACAGGCTATATTAAATATGAACTCAATTTCACTTTTCTAAGCATCCTACTCCAGGTGAAGTAAATGAAGTTTAACTGATAATATTTGAAATACTATGGCTTACTCATGGTGACATGTTAGGTTGTGTTCCTGTGGGGTGTGACAGAAGAGTAAATTTGTTTCTGTAGATTAAAAGAGCGATCTTGAAAAATATTTCTGTGAGAAAGGCAAGTTTCATCAACATGTCATGGAGAGGAAAGATGGGCCATAGAAAAAGATGGCTTTTACTCTCAGAGACTAGCTGAGGAAAGACTAGTGAAGATGGCCAAGTTGCATTGTTGCATTGCTAACAGGCCACTCAATTTTGCCACATAAACAAAACATGACTGTAGTTCTTATCTTTGACAAATTAACATATTATGTATTATTCATTATCAAATCAGGCAAAACATGAATTTCTGGTCTAAAGTAAATTGGCACATTTGTTAACTTTCCATTTACTGTAACCAATACTGGAGATAGATAGGTTTTGGAGGCTTCAACCCATGGTTTGTTGACCTCATTGCTTCTGGTTCTCTGGTGGTAGAACAGAAAATCTTGGCAAGAAAGTGTGATAAAACTATTTACTTTATGGCTTGAATAGGTGGTTGGAAGAGGCCAGGACCCTAATAACCCCCATGTACCTTATAACCCAAAGACCTCATATAATGATGATATTTTAAACTTTCTTTTGCCTCCCAATAATGATTAATCTTTAACAGATGGGAGAATATACTATTCAAACTATATTATGTCTCATAATAGGTATCTGTTAAAATATTTGTTGTACACTGGGGGGTACTTTATTGTATATAGAATGTTTAAGATCTAACCCAGCATCTAAGAAAAAGAGCTAAAGAGATTATAAGTCACAAAGTGTTATTTAAGTTACTCATTTTTCCATAGTAGTTCAAATATTGCTAGCCATATTTATGTGCATTAATTCACTAGGTATCTTCATTTTTAAAAATGTATTCATATCTGTGTACGTGTATGTTTCATACTATGCATGTGAAGGCCAGAGGATAACCCTTGGGAGTCACTGTTTTCTTTCTACCATGGGTTTTGGAGATGGAACTCATACCATCATATTTGTAGTTGCAAGTACTTCTATTTCCTGAGCCATGTTAATGACCCAGTATCTAAGTTATTCTAAGATTACCAGTTATTTCCATTTTACAGTCAAAAAGACCAAGGCCTCTTTTGTACAATTAACTGACTTCAGAAGGTTGGTAAGTATTCACGATTTGAACTAAGGTCCTCTGAGACCAGGGTTAAGGTTGTTTTTTCAACATCCTGGTTGCATTGTGATGCAATGACTCCACAAACTTAAGACTTCAAATATTTGGTACTTGGTTGGTGGTGCTATTTGGGAAGGTTATGGAATGTTTAGGACATAGAGTCTGTCTTCTTTTTGTTTTTGTTTTTTTTTGTGTGTGTGTTTTGTTTTTTCGAGACAGGGTTTCTCTGTATTGTTTTGGAGGCTGTCCTGGAACTCGCTCTGTAGACCAGGCTGGCCTCGAACTCACAGAGATCCTCCTGCCTCTGCCTCAAGAGTGCTGGGATTAAAGGCGTGCGCCACCACCACCCTGCTAGGAGTCTGTCTTCTAAATACAGAATTCTCAAATTTAACTTCTGTAGTGGAATAATGCAATAAGTCTGATAAAAATCTCATGAGTATTTCTTCAAAATGATTAAAGCTAGGAGACTCCTGAAACTGCAAGAAATAAAAATCATTCCATGGTACCTTGTTACTGTCACGGGTTAGAGGATGGGTGCCCCTAAGTACTGAGATGGGACAGGCTAGAGCAAGAAGACTAGGGAACAAGAATGACAGCAGAGTACTTACTTTGAATATATTTTCAATGAAGCTATCTGGGTGGAGATGTCATACTGGCAGCTAAATGTGGGTTGTCATTAAATAAAATTATAGAAATAAATCCTCAAGAAAAGGAGTTTTATTTGAGAGTGAATGGAAAGACAGAATTGTACCATATATAGTATATACTATGATATATATGCACATATATCATATATATACATATATATATAATAGACAGTCTCTGGTGTATTTAGAGAATGAAGGGAAGGATTATCTTTTTATTATAGAAAGAGGGAGTAACACAGATTATTTTGGAAGCCAATTCTAGAAAGGAGTAATACAAATATTTTTGGAATCAAGTTCATATGTCTGGTAATGTCTTCTGGGGCGCTGGCAAGCTTGGATTGGTCATCAGTGGCAACTGCTAGGTAAATTTTGTCTTAAAGTCATAGTGGGTCATTTGGTTGCATAGCGCTTTCAAGGCGTCCAATGAAATAGATACTTGTGACCTACATGGTTTTCCCTATGATGTCTTAGCTGTTTACTTGTCTGTGACAGGAATAGGTAAACTGATTTGATGGATCTCAGGGTCTAGAGCTGAGAAGAAAGATCTGCATTGGATATGCAAGTTTTATGATATAAGAGTATCCAATACCTTGAAAGTAGGTTAGAAGTGAGGAGAAAGAGAGCACTGAAGGGTCCAAATGGTAACAGCGATGCTGAGAATTCTCAGAGGCACAAGAGTAGAAGCGACTAGCAACTAGAAACAGAAAAAAATCTGGAGTGTGTGATTTTCAGACTTCTGTTTGTAGATTTTGCATTGGTTATGATCTCTTTCACAAACACAAGCAATATATAGGTGCTCCTTTCTCATATATGTATCTACTTCTGTAGGTTAGATGCCTGACAGTGGATAGCTGAGTAAGATAGTACATCTCATTTTGATTTCCACAGTATTTTTAAAAAGAGAAGATTTCTGTCAGAAGCCATTAAGCAGAGATGGTTTGTCCATATTTCCAGTGGCATCTGCTAACACTGACTGAGCATATTTATTGGCCTACTATACAGCAAACCCTATAGACCCTATAGGCATAGAAAAGATTGACACTGACAGTATACTTTCATGCAGAAGAGGTGGACAAAGGCTCTTCATAGTCTTTAAGCACTTGAATTTTATGCCATTCAGAGAATATTTTACTTTTGATATGGATTCCTGATTAGCCTCCCAAATACTGGGATTCCAGCTATATACCAACACACCCAACTTGTATTTTAAATATTATTTTGTACATACATTTAAGAAAACAGAGCAATCTGAGGGTGTTTGCTTTTGTTTTCAGGAGCAACTAGAGTGGGTTTCTGATGTAGTTCGTGCATGTGGGTTTGTTATATATAAATACCCGGTTAAATGTTGGAATTCATGAAACTATTGTACAGAGAATTGCTTTGAATTCAGCCTGAACACAAAGGTTCAGGTTCTTGAGTTTGAAATATAAATTTAAGAATTATTTAGCCACATTTTTAGTGAATAAATCTACTTTGTTATATCTACTCCAGAGGTAGGCTTCACCATCAGTACCTTCTCACATCCCCGAAGATGATAGTGAGTAGTGGCTAAATCGTATCATGTTTGAAGACAGTTTATTTTTCCAATGTGAGAAACAGTACCAAGCATATAGTTTTCATATCTGTTTTTAAGAAGGTCAGCATAATGGTGTGAGAATTCTTAACAAGTACGGTACTTACTAAGTTACAATAGGCTGAGTTTTCTACAGGTGGCCTATTTTTGAATAGTGCTCTAAATTGTTTGTGTAGTCCCTTACTAGGGGGAATATTAAATACACTCTTAAATCAGTTTTCAAATTTCAAAACCATATCTAAATATGTGTAACAATTCTGTAGAATGAATCTGAACATGGTTTAAGTTCTCTTACTACTAACATTCATTTGTTAGATTTTAAAGGGGTTACATGTATTCAAATGAAGAAATGAGCTATGGGGACTTAATCTTACTCCATAGCATCTGAAGCATGCATATTTTTGGTGCATGGGATGCCATTGAAACAGGGTCTGGCTATATAGCCCGGGACAGCTTAAAACTCTCTATGTAGCCAAGGCCCACCTTGAATTCCTGATCCTTCTGCCTCCATCTCCAAAGTGCTGGGATTATAAGTGTAACCTACCACATATGGCATAGACCATATATGTGTTTAAATAATCAGATTATGATCTACTTTTTTTGACATATGATCTTCTATCTACCTTTATAAGCATAGAGTCATGTCAAAGTTGTCTAGTAGCTAAGTCCAGATTCAGTCACAGTCTTAATACAATCTTGAATAAATTATTTCAGTTCTCTGGAATGCAGGATTGGAACCTACAAAATAAAGAGCCAGGCTTGGCATCCCTTCTGGATTTAACTGACTTTGCTTCTAAATTTGGTAGCTTAGGCACCAAAATGACAGGACTTATAATGGATTCAACTTTTGGTCTGTGTTTCACCATCCTTTCTTGAATCCTCACTCTTGTTATTGGCATCACTGTGAGCAAGGCATATTTCCTTTTCTATTGGTTTTGGACTTAGCAATATGACCTCCTTTTGACCAATGAGGTATAACACATGTTCTTAGTAGTGGGACTTATCCAAGTACACTGCTGCTATCACCATTCTGAGGCTATTCTTTGGGTCTAATGAGGATGAGATATAAGCATCTGATTTACACTCTCAGGCCTATAAGAAGGAAGCAGAGTTTTCCTAGTCAATCTTCATAGACATGAAAAAAACTGATTTTCATTTTAAGTCATTGGCTTTTGGAGTAGTTTCTTACTTGCTATTATAATAATATAAGAAAATAGTAAGAATTGGGTAAGAGAAAATTGAAGTTTGAAAATGGAGTTCCTGACTTTTGCCTACATCAGCACAGGAAAGAGATAGATAGTGGAACCTCTCCTTTTTCACTTAACTAGTCTTACTAGTGAACAAAATGTGACAATATGAATTGATTGGCTCTTATTTCCTTTTACTTGATGGTTTATAATATTTGACAAAATAACTTTTGTAACAGAGTTCTATAATTGCTAGTTTATCAGCAAGATGACCCTATATTCCAATTTCTCTATACATGTTCTAGTTTGTGTCTGTGTTTTGCAGTGTGTGTGCGCGCGTGTGTGTGTATGTGTGTTTGTGTGTGTGTGTGTATGTGTGTGTGTGTAATCAATTAGCTCTCTTCACTTTCAAAAAGTGCAATTACCAGAATCCTACCAGTATATCTTGAAACATTATTATCTCCATCCTGAATTTTGCCACTATAAAGGGTTTCTACCCCAACTCCCAAAACATCGCTAGCATGTCTTCTTTACATCACAGGTAATCCTAGGATACACAAAATGTGGCAAGCATGTCTCTTTGTTATTCTTCAAGCAGTCAACCTTCTTGGTGTTCCCTTTTTATCACAAACTGAAGAAATATTAAGTAATTTGTTTGGAAAAGTGTTGAGTACACCTAATCTCAACAGTATTTTCCAATAAGCCTGTGTCATTTCTGTCGATACAAAAGCCTATGAGCCATTGCACAGTTTGCTTGGAGTGATACACTTCCCATTGTCTAATCAGGAAAGTCTGCGTAGGTGAACATATAGAAGCATATGTTTTTAAACAATTAGCAAAATCCTAAATTTTCACAACACTGACATATCTCCCCTCATGTACTAATACCCTTAGGTGAGAAATGACAGCGAAATAGAATTCAAGGCCCAAGTACTATGTTGAGAGAAAACAGTAGGCAACTAGAGACGTAGTTCTTGGATAATTTGCCATTTTAGAGCCTACATTTTGCCATGCTGGAGCGTAGCATGAGAACTCCCTCTATAGATGTTCCAGGGTTGTCAACCATCTTTTGCCAAAGGCGTTGTTCTTCCCCACGAGAGTCCATCCAGTCTACAGTCTTCCCATGGCTGACACCTGAGGAAGGGAAAAGGGGGTACAACATTTCACACAAGAGGTGGACCTTCTAGAAGGCAAATAACACTCTCTGAGGGGAACTTTTAAGTAGAAATTCTCTTGTTGACCTCTTCTCAGTTCCAATATCTAGTGAGAGGTATTGAAATGTATCAGTCTTTTGAAGCCTGCATGATTTCTTTCTATGTAGGTTGTACAGAGAAATCAGAATGACTACTGATATCACATTTCCTCCCTACTTTGATAGATTGGCAGAGAACTAATTTATCTAAACCAAGTTAGTTAGTTCACAGGCTGGCCTCAGATACGAAGATCTCTATTTCTAAGATAGCTACTTCTCTGACCCTAGAGGATTCAATTTTACTGATATATGTATCCCCTGCTCTCCTTAAACTGTAAAAAGCTTCACATAGATGGGGGCATATGGCTGTCCTAAGATATAGGATAAAGAGATTTGGAGTGACTGCATGTATGTTTCTAGTGATAAAGCATTTGGTCACTGTGATGTGTCTCCAGACCTAGTTCACACCTTGCTATATTTTATGACATGAGTTGTGTGTTTTCATTCTGTGTTTAGTATTATATCAACATGACACACTTGGGTCATTGAGAAAATAAATCCATCTGATTGGCCTGTGGGCAAGTCTATGGAGAAGCTTCTTGAGTGATGATTGTCCTGGCAGGAAACAGTTCATGTGGGCAGTGCCACCCTGGGCAGGTGGTCCTGGGTTATACAAAAAATCAAACTGAGCAAGAATGTAAACAATTTTGCTCAGTGGTTCTGCTTCAGTTCTGCCTCTATGTTCCTGCCCTGATTTACCTTTGTGATGAACTGTAAGTAAAATAAACCCCTTCCACCCCAAGTTGGCTCTCATTATTGTCTTTATCATAGCAATAGAAAGCAAACTAAGACACATTGCTTATATGAACAATATTAGATTGATGGGGAAAGTCCTTCTGTGTATATGTCAATAAAGCACTGTTGGCCAATAGGGAAGCAAGATAGGTGGGACTAGGTGTCTAGGAGGATTCTAGGAAATGTAGTGAAGAGAGTAGTCACCATGTGATTTATTGGGAGGAAAGGACACATCAGGAGGGCGTACTCAGAAAGATAACTCCTAAAAATATATATTAGTAATTATGGATCAGAGCTAGCCAGTAGGAAACAATAGCAAATAACCAACAGCTTCATAATTAATATAGTGTCCCGTGTGTTATTTGGGGGCTAAGGCAGTGAAGGAACCCAGGCAGCTGGTGGGAAGAATGCACATTACATAAGGCTTGGGGCATGAACTCCCATTTAAGAATGTAACAAAAACTTAAAAAGGGATTTTATAAATAAAAGAACAGAGACAAGCAAGACTTCTTGGTAGCAGGATTTTCTCCCGTGGGCTCTGTTTTGCTAGAGACAAGAGGAGACTTACAGTGCTGGCAGTAAACTTAAGCCTGCAATCTTGTAAAGACTGCAGTTAAAACAGTCTCGGCTCTTAGCAGATAACAGACACATGGCCAGAAAAACATAAATATTTACAGTTAAGTCAGATTCAGATGAAGTAAAACCTCTAAAAGGTTTACAGTGTGTTTAAAAATATATGTAGGCTTGAGAGAGAAAAAGATACAGGATAAAATGCACACACCTTTAATCCCAGCACTCCAGAGATAGAGACAGGCAGATTTCCACAGAGAAACTCTCAGAGAAAAAAATTAAATAAATAAAAGTAAAAGAAATAGAGTAATAAAAAAGCCATGTAAAGATGAAAAGTAGAAAGAGAGTCTGGATACTGCATTCTATTGTGTCGTTTTTTGAATTGTTTGACTGCTAAGGAAATAACTGGTAAAATATGCTTCATTATAAATGCTGCTAAATTAATCCAACTTATATATTTTAAAAATGCTTTGACTTCTAAATTTAAACATAAGGAATGTTACTTGGGAAAAAAGGTTTTGTTTCTATTTCCACAGGAAATGAAAGACTGTGGATTCCTTCCCAGGATTCTATGGTTTGATGAAGCAAGACCTCCTAAGGCAGTGTCCCGGGCAATCCAGCATCTGAAACAGCTGGGATGCTACAACCATACAGATCACAAAAACAAGGACTTAGCCAGGTTTCTGTGTTTTGTCATGATCCCCATGGTACAGACAGTGCCCCCAACCAGCAGGAAGCACTTTGGAGTAAACAACACGCAGATTTCCAAATATTGTTCATAAATTTTTGTTTTCATTTAAATGGGGTTGTTTATAAATGGTTAATGACCGCAACCAATCTCTTTTTAAAGGTAAAAGGGAGAGATTATGACATAGAAATGAATACTTTGTATTGGAATGGATTTTCATTTATTGATACAAATTTTAGATCAATTTTGTGATATATATACAAATATATATATATATATTTCTCCTCTTGTTTAGGTATTGTGTTTGTATAACTAATTTAAAATGTAATGTATAATTAAATACAGATTATTGATACTTATAATAGTCAAAACTTATAGTTATACAGAGATGTATTTAAGACAGATAGATATTCTTCAAATCTTTCAAAGACCTATAGAATATATGGCAATTAAATGGTTTAGGTTTTCATGATATTGGGACACTACTACTCCTGGCACACCAATTACACCAGAGAAGATGATGGGCATTGAAGAAACTCATTATGGAGTTTGCTTTCAACATGATGAAACTAGCCATTTGGGCAAGAAACTGCTCTTGCCTGGATTGTTTGACCGTTGTTGTATAAATTGGACATGCAGGACCCACAGGGAAGTTACTGCTGAACTTGGACAGTCCAACAGGGTTCCTGATTCATGAAAGAGCCTCCCAGACATTCTGCAGGACACAGAAAAATGACTGACAAACTGCCAATGCAGGCATAGAGTTTAAAATTTTCTGGTCTGCTGAGAAGTCTTCCAGACACACTGTGGCCTATGGTCTGAAGATGGATGCCCCAATGTTACACAAGAACTTTGGTTGACTGTCCAGGTAGCGAGATGTCTCTTTCAATTCTAATATTTATATATTATCCTTCCGCAGTCTTTGATGGAGTTGAAGACTGATAGTTATAGTTGTTTTCCTTAGTTATGATAAAAGATGAGCTATATATAAGAATTAGACTCACATGGATAAGATAGATAATAAAATACTTTCTTTAAATATTGCTAAATGTTAACGGACAAAATATTGTAACTATAATTCTTGCTTGATAACTGTTCTGTTATATATAATTTGACTGTGTTAAAGTTAAAAATTTTCTTTTTATCTAGACATGAAAGAGGAGATGTTGAGGGAAGTCCTTCTGTGTATATGTCAATAAAGCACTGTTGGCCTATAGGGAAGCAAGATGGGTGGGACTAGGAGTCTAGGAAGATTCTGGGAAATGTAGTGAAGAGAGTAGTCGCCATGTAATCTCCCAGGAGGAAAGGACACATCAGGAGGGTGTCCTCGGAAAGATAAGTCCTTCTAAAAATATATATTAGTAATTATGGATCAATAATTAACTCAGAGCTGGCCAATGAGAAACAACAGTAAATGGCCAACAGCTTCATAATTAATATAGTGTCTCGTATGCTATTTCGGAGCTAAAGTGGCAATCGGACCCAGGTGGCTTGTGGGAAGAATGCACATTACATTAAATGCTGTGTACAGAGAAAATCTGGTTTCCTTTTAATGTGATCATTGTTGAGTTGAAGTACTAGACAGAAGTGAAAAGAAGATGGAGTAAAGGCAACCTTATGAGTCCTTCCTCTTCAATCACAAGTCTGTGATGCCTTGCTTTTCACCTGAACAAAATCTGAAAGTCTTTGAAATTCACTTACATGAATGTATTGAAGATTTTTCTATGAAAGTATCCAGTATAAACATAACACTTCCTTAACTTTAAGTCTAAGGATACAAAGATATCATAGAAAAACTTAGGAATTAACAGTGATCATCATCTAAAGAATAAGGCATCTGTGTTACTTCAGGAGTTACTGTAGCTCAAACTACATAAAAATCTACAACAAATCACACCTACAGTAGTCATACTGTTGCCCATGCCCTGTTACAGACCAGTTCCAGCTTTCCCAATTCCTTACCACTTCCAGAATTTAAACGAACACCTCCTAGAAAGATGTTGCTGGAAAAGGCCTCCTTGTCCCAGATGGTGAGTTCTAGGCAAACATTCTTTATATCCTGAGGATACAGGCCACTGAATATGAATGTATGATTCCACTGAGGATTAACACTCTTTTTTACAACCACAGTTTTGTGCTTGGTGACTTTATTATCATCAGGAAGCAGGTAGCTGTAGAAGTAAACACAGTCACATTAGTGGGGAAGTAAAAACAAAATGCTGTCTTTGAGTTGTCATTTGGATTTTCAATAATTCTGTGTAACAGAGTATTAATGCAATATGAATGCTTGATGCTTTCTCCCTGATTCTTATAATCTTAACCTATCATATTTGGAGGGATGACTGACTAATGCCACAATAGTAAAATGCCCTCTCTTCATTTTCATATACAATTTTTGTATTTTTAAACCCTTCCAAATATTTCTTTCTCCATCTGGTAAAGAAAAGACCTCTGGTGGCAGCCACTATTGAGTGCTTCACTTTGTATCTTCTTGGGTTATCTGTAAGTTGATTTGCAGCCAAGGTGGATAGTTCCTGTCATATTTTCAACTTCTCGTTTTAAATCCTGTGTGTCACAGGCTACCTGGTTCTCTGCGTGTTTTCTCCTTTATGTTCAGAGCACCTATAAATTCCTGAAAACTGAATGTTTGAAGGGAAATTCTCAATCAGTGGGTTTTAGAAAAAGTTGATGAGTCCCCTAATTCTTCAAGGGATATACCATTAAGTGGAGTTTTTGTTGTTTCCCCATTAGAACTCAATACTACAGTGAATCTTTCCATTAACAATTTAATCTGTTTCCCTCTATCCTTTGATTCATGGTCTATATGCTTTTACTGATGTTTTCTTGGAAGTCCTTCTCTGGTAGACTACCTGTGCCCTATGTCTTCTCTATTATGTTCAAACTCTAATTCCCAAACACCTTTGTGCCTTCAGGAAACATGGTTTAGGGAAGAAGATGAATGTGTAGATGGAATCCCTACATGAAACAATTATGAGAACTACAAGTAAATGTCTCAGAGATAATTGGGTCATGCAATATTTCATTTACTATATTGGTCAGCACTAGTAAGTAGGACAGTGACAGAGTGATTACATAGCAAGGCCCTAGGTTTGATCTACCCTAGGTTTGATCTACTACCACCAAAGAGGTCAAAAATTAATAAATTTATCAGAGAACACTATTATTTCTCAATATCTATTCTACACTGATTCTTTTTAAAATCCCTATTTTTTATTATTACCATTTTACATTTTATTTTATTTCAATTTTTAAAATTTCCATCATTAAAGAACCCTGTTATAAATCTGGGCACACATTTTCCCAGAATAAAGACCACAAAGCGTTTCCACAGAACTGGGCAATAGAATACAAGAATTAGCTCTATGAAAAAGTTATGGGAAGCTTCCTATGAGTCTGGATTTGCATAGGATAAATGAATTCCTCATATCTAGATACCCTGGTCCTCAGTGAAGATAAGATAATGGTTTAGAAAAACACATTTGTCCCTGATAATCAGGATGTTTCCACATCCTACTCTAGATAAATTGCCTTCAGTCATTGTTTACATGCAAGAGTCAATTGTCCTTTTCTTATCAGGCGGGTTCCAGTTATCAAAATTGGTTGATTAGGTTTAGTAGCAAGCCCATTTCTTTTTACTTGCTGAGCCATCTTGTAGGCCCTTATGTCTTTCTTAAGTCATAGGTATTTCAGTTCATAAGCAGATCACATGTATTTATATAATTTATGCCTTTTATAATATTACCTATGTATCCGTTCTTGCTTGCTCTCTGGCTCTTTTAAAAGATAGCTTAGTTCATTTTTAAGAGTCTTTCTTTCTTTTTATGTATATGAGTGTTTTCCCTGCATGTATATCTATGTACCATGTGCAAACAGTGCCTATGGAGATCAGAAGAAGGTATCAGATTTCCTGGAACTGGAGTTACATACAGTTGTGAGCTGCCTTGTGGGTGTTGGGAATTGAACTTGGGTCCTCTGTAAGAGCAGTCAGTGCTCTTAACCATTGAACTATCTCTCCAACTCCTTGGATAATTTTTAAATTGGCTTAATGTTTAAATATCCATAAGAGAATTTACTGGAAAGTTAGTTTAAAAAATAGAATGAAGTACTGTTCTTTATTATTTGTGCTTCATATATTCTTAACAAGAGAATGTAAAAATTGTTGCTGACAACATTGAGTTATCCCTGGAAGATCATGATAAGCCAGGGACAATATTCTTACCATACAAGACAGTAAGGAACAGAGTCCTAAACTGGATGCTGGCCCTCCTGAAGTGAATGAACGGCAGCATCACAGTTCAAAGAAAGAGTTTCTATTATGCTAAAGAACATGATTCAATGATGGGGAAATTCTAGTCACCTTATTCTCATCAATATGTGGTTTAGTATGATTCATTTCCTTGTGAGAAAACACACCCATGGGAGGTCTGCCCCTTTCTGAATAGAGCTAGAGGAGGAGCAGATAGGGAAGGGGGTAGATGGAAAGTGGGTGGGAAACTGTGGTCAGTATGTAAAATAAATAAAAAACGTTAAATTAAATTTAAAATGTTTGTACATGGAAAAAAATAGAATCTTGCACTCTGCCCCCTGTTGGCCTGGCACTTGCTACATGTAGCCCAGCCAGCATGGAAACAAACTTGTCATCTTCCTGACTCAGTCTCCCCAGCAGTAGGATTTTAGGCACTACCATCAGACCTGGATAACTTTTAGAAGATCATGCCATAGTTTGGCATCATGGAAATTTGCTTTACTCCATATGTGTCAAGATGCTCTGTGAGTTCAGCTATCATATCTATTTTCAAAGAGCAGCATCTAATGCTTGGTACATATACATTTGAGTGTTTGCTTGAATGAATGGAAAATGTTGGTTTAGCCCAAGTTCTTCTAGTTACATGAGAAAAAGTCTACAATAGTCAGACACGAGAGAGATTTGCTATTTGCATTGCTTAGAATGAGCAAGAATATTCATTTAAAGGGCACTATTTCTCCAAGAAACTGCCATTTGCTTCATATGATGACAACACACACACACACACACACACACACACACTGTATATCTCAGGTCCTGGAGCCTGTCTTACACACTCTCCAGAGAAGATGCTGAAATGCATTTTACAATTTTCCCAAGAGAGTAAACCATGTTGTACCAAACAATAACAAAGCAAAAATAAAAGTAAATTAAACATAGAAAACCATGCTTTCTTCTCTTTTGAGAAACAAATCTCCTGGGAAAGTCTTCGGACCTTCAGGATGAAAGTAGTCCTCACAGTGGCCCTCCAGAAATATGCTGGAGACATGGTGAAAGCTAGAACAGCAACTCTGCCCCCTCTTGTGTTGCTTTAGAAATAAGAGCGGGAGCACTTAAGGGTAGCCTTTCCAAAGTACATGCAATAAGCAGAACACAGGCCTCTCACAGGTACCATTGTCTAGTGGATCACAGTTCCTTTCAACACCCAGTGTGTCATCTTTGATGAGTTAAAACACAATTACCCTTTCACAAAGCTGTCAGAGCCTCCCGATTTGACTGCGGTCAGATTCTTTGCTTCCTTGATGAACACTTCAAGTATTCCCCCAGAGATGACAGCTGACTCTTGTTTCTTCCCTGTTTTAAAGGTCTTCTTTCCTGCATGAACCAGCAGAGAGGAGGTGAAGGAGATCAGTGATTCCACTTCATAATTTCCAAAGAACATCTACAAGCTTCTGTAAGGGAAAAAATGAAAATCTTCCAAAGGGTTAGAATGGAAAAGATCTTGCCTGGACTACCATCCTGTTCTGACTGAGAAAGAGCTATGGTGAAATCCAAGCACCAGAGCTTCGGGAGAGACATTTATATGACTTTGACATTTTAAACTGACTTTCAAAGGGTATAGTCAGTAACTTCCTTTTTATAAATTTTATAAATTGTCAGCATCAGTTTGGGAGAAAGGTTTGTCACCTTCAATATTTATTCTGATGTAATAGGTCCAACATGAGGAAAAACCACTACCCAACTGTCACCTTTATTTAATACTCTATGAAGTACCTTACATATATGAACCTATTTAATCTTCATAACACTCTTTTTAATTTTTTCTGAAATTATAATATACTTGCATCATTTCCCCTTTTCCTTTCCTCCCTCCACACTTTCCTATGTATCCCTCCTTTCTCTCTTTCAAACTCATAGTCTCTTTATTCATTGGCTATTATTACATGTACATATATATATACATATATATATATTCCTAACTATAACCTGCTCAGTCTGAATAATGATATTTGTATGTACGCTTTCATGGCTGACCATATAGTATTGCCAAATTAGATGGGGGAAAGACTACAATATCTCAACCCTACACAAAGAACTACAGACAAATGAAGTGAGAAAACTCAGACCAAGAGATGAGTTACTTTCATGGGGAACCACTAAACACTATAAGCATGAATGGGAAAATAAACAAAGCTGCTGAAGAAGTTGATGGAAGAAGGAAAAAAGGAGATATTTAAAGTTGATTTCATCTGGATTTTCCCTTTGTTTTCTATGTTTTATTGCAGATATTTCTTCTTAGACTCCCTGAGTACTTGTGAATGAGTCCACAGAGCAGCTTCCTAGAAACCCCTCACACAACATATCTCTCCCACAGGGGTGAGTGGGGATGTAGATTCTGTATCTCTTGGACTGACAGGAAATAATCTCCCCATCAGGGCTGGTGTCTAAGTATGGATTTTGTCCTGTAATTTTCTTTTCCACATATTTTATAGCATGTACTTCTCAATTCTCAAAAGACCACTGACCCCATTTTTTATTGTACTGAGAAAGTAACACAGTTCAACCAAACCTTAACGTTCACTTATACAATTGTATGAAGAGAATGTCACTGATCAGAGCTATTGCTTTTTAACCCTACCTTGAGGTTGTCTTACTGGGAATATGGAGTTCTCCTCTGGAGTAATGTAACGTAAAATAACTGTTAACTCTCCTCTGTATTGAAGGCCAACATCAGGAGCCAACTCCACCTAGCCAAGGGGAGATAAATGGAAAAGAAGTTAGGATGCTAGATATTATCTTCTTAAATGAAATACAGCATATTCAGAAATACAAATGTTTCACGCTTTCTCTCACATTTGGAATATAGGGAGTCTATATTTCCTCCTATATTATTTCCTTAAGAGACCTGACTTCTCTATGTGGAGGACCCAGCTTAGACTCCTAACAATTGTGGATAAGCTGCCTGAACCAGCCATATCCTGCGACTAGAGTGGTGCCTGACCTAATTGTCATCGAGAGACATCATCCGGCAACTGATGAAGGCAGATGTAGAGACCCACAGACAGATATTAGGTGGAGTTTGGAAATCCTGAGAAGGAAGAGGAGGAGGAGAAGGAAGAGGAAGATGAGGAGGAGGAGGAGGAGGAGGAGGAGGAGGAAGGAGTGCAGAAGCCAGAGGGGTCAAGGACACTATGGAAGGGTCACCTAAACCCACAGAATCAGCTAACTGGGCTTCCAGAGAATGAACTGACAACCAAGTGAGACTGCATGAGACTGACCTAGGCACTCCACATATGTTACAGTTATGGAGCTTGGTCTTCTAGTGGGAATACTAACAGCAGGAACAGGAGTTGTCTCTGACTTTTACTAGTTTTGGGACCATACTTCTCATACTGGGTCATTTTGCCCTAACTTTAATATATGGGGAGTTGCTTAGTCCTTCTGAAACTTGATATACCATGTTTTATTTCAACTCATAAGAGATGGGAGAGGAGGGGGTTGAGAAGTGGTAGGGGGAATGGTAGGAGAGGGCCTGGGAGGGCAGGATAAGGGGAGGAGGCTGTGGCCTGAATGCAAAATATAGAGCTATAGTATTGAAAACAGCTTGGTATTGGCACAAAAATACACAGGGAGAAGAATGGAATAGAATTGGAGACCCTGATAATAACTCAGACACCTATGAACACCTGACTCTTGACAAAGTAGCTGAAATTATACAACGGAAAGAAAGCATCTTCAACAACGTGTGCTGGCATAACTGGATGCCTACATGTAGAAGATTGCAGATAGATCTATATCTATTGCTATTCATAAAATGTAAGTACAAATGGATCAAAGCCCCTCAACAGAAATCTGTTCACACTGAACCTCTTAGAAGAGAAAGTGGGAAGTACCCTTGAACACAATGGCACAGGAGACTAATTCCTAAACATGAACCAGTAGCACAGACACGGAGATTGACAATTAATAAACGGGACCTCCTGAGACTATGAAGCTTCTGTAAGGCAAAGGACACAATCAGCAAGACAAAAAGGCAGCCCACAGAATGGGAAAAGATATTCACTAACTCCACATCTGACAGAGAGCTGATTTCCAAAATATACAAAAAACTCAAGAAACTAGTCACCAAACATCAAATAATCCAATTTAAAAATGGGGTACAGATCCTCAACAGAGGAATCTCAAAAGGCTGAAAGGCACTTAAGGAAGGTTCAACACCCTTAGACATCAGGGAAATGCAAATCAAAACAACTCTGAGATACCATCTTACTCCTGTCAGAATAGCTAAAATCATAAACACCAATGACAGCTTATGCTGGAGAGGATATGGAGAAAGGGAAACACTCATCCATTGCTGGAGGGAGTGCAAATTTGTATAGCTACTTTGGAGATCAGTATGGCTGTTTCTTCCTGGTAAAATGGTAATCAGTCTACTTGAAAACCCAGCAGTTCTACTCTTAGGCATATACCCAAAGAATGCACACTCACACCACAAGGATATCTGTTCAACTATGTTCATAGCAGCATTATTTGCAATATCTAGAAACTAGAAGCAACCTAGATGCCCTTCAACTGTAGAATGGATAAAGAAAACGTGGTACATATACACAATGGAGTACTACCCAGTGGTTAAAAAAAACAATGACATCTTGAAATTCTCAGACAAATAGATGGAACTAGAAGAAACCATCCTAAGTGAGGTAACCCAGATACAGAAAGACAAACATGGTATGTACTCACTCATATGTGGATATTAGCCATATAGCAAAGGATAACCAGCCTACAATCCACAACCCCAAAGAATCTAGGAAACAAGTAAGAACCCAAACAGAAAGGGACAAGATCTGCTGAGTAAATTGGGAGCAGGGGAGAAGGAGGGAGGAGAGAGAGGAGGGGAGAAGGGGATGGGGAGGTGTAATGATTCGTATTTATGATTTATAAAAGCTTGATTTGAGGATTCAGAAAAGCAAAGTCAGCCACAAGCCTTAGAATCCAGGCACACACCTTTAATCCCAACATCCAGACGCTAGAAGGTGATGGTACAAGCCTATAGTCCTAGGACTGAGGATAAAGAGATAGACAGATCTCTCTGAGTCCAAAGTCACCCAGAATGAGTCTAAAAGAGAATTGAAGGGGGATGTCTTTCTGTGTATTTGTTTCTCTTATTGGTTGATGAATAAAACACTGATTGAGCAGTAGCCAGGCAGGAAGATGGGCAGGACTACCAGCCCAGGAGAAAGCTGGGGAGAGGAAAACAAAGAGAGCCTGCCCAAGGAGTAATTATGGGTAAGCCACAGCCTCGCAGCAATACATAGATTAAAGAAATGGATTAAAGATTAATACAGAGCTCGCCAATAAGATGCCTGAGTCATCAGTCAAACTTTTTATACTTAGTATAAATCTTTGTGTGTTTATTTGGGGCAATGTGGCTGTGAGATCAGGCGGGACAGAAACTTCAATCTACAGAGAATTGTAGCTCACACCTTTAATCCAAACATTAGGGAAGTATATAAAACAGAAACAAGGTCAGTGAGAGGCATTCAGTCTCCAGCCACACTGAAGAGAGGTTACAATCTGAGGTTTGGTGAGCGCTCATGGAGACAGGATCAGGACATTCAGCCTGAGGTAGAAGTAAGAAGCTAGTGGTCAGCTAATTTGCTTTTATGATATTCAGCTTGAAGCTTGAACCCAGATATCAGTCTCTGGGTCATTTATTTATTCATGTTACATATTGGTGGCCAATGTTAAAGTATGGATTCATGAAAAAGCTGCTTCTAGGCCACCTTAGGGCCAAGCTTGAGCTTCAAGCAGGACTCCTACCTGAGTCCCTCTTGCCTGAGTCTCTTCCTGACCAACTAGGTTTTCTCCTCAAATCTTTGAGTAAGTGTGGAATTGTCTTCAGCTGCCACCCAAACTCAGGAGGCTTTCAGGCTTTTCCTAGAGTCTTTCTCCTCAGTCTGAAATTCTCAGTTCACAGTGACAAGCCAGTTCTTGGATCAGACAAGCTATGCCTCACTATCACTAACATTGTAGACAGATTTGGTAAGTTTTGGGGGCATTTTTAAAGGAAGGGATTAGTTAAAAAACAGAGTTTATTCCTCACACTAAAAAAATGAAAAACACTATTAAGGTCACAAAAATTAAATCTGTATATGATTACATAAGAGATGGTTTAAAAATGGAGCATGAGAGGGAGCCCAGCTTCAGGTGAGATTGGGTCTCCAGTGGGGACCGCCTGCCCATCACCCATCCCCCCACGATCTTCTGGGCTGCTCCCGGCATCCAGAAGAGCCGCCCACACAGGAAAGAGATCAGCCCCTCCAAGACCCCAACCCAGCGAGCCCAGCTTCAGGTGAGATTGGGTCTCCGGCTGGGACCGCCCACCCATCACCCATCCCCCTCCATCTTCGGGGCCGCTCCTGGCTTCCAGAAGAGCTGCCCACACAGGAAAGAGATCAGCCCCTCCAAAACCCCAACCCAGCGAGCCCAGCTTCAGGTGAGATTGGGTCTCCAGCGGGGACCGCCTGCCCATCACCCATCCCCCCGCGATCTTCTGGGCTACTCCCGGCATCCAGAAGACCCACCCACACAGGAAAGAGATCAGCCCCTCCAAGACCCCAACCCAGCGAGCCCAGCTTCAGGAAAGAGATCAGCCCCTCCAAGACCCCAACTCCAGGGAGCCCAGCTTTAGCCCGCAGTAAGGAAGGAGACCAGTGGAGACGGAAAGACCCCACCAGCACCCACTGGAAGAAGAGATGGGAAGAAGACAGAATAAGAGATCACTCAGCAATAGAAACACCAACATGACCCCACCAGAATCCAGGGATCCAACACCAGCAAGTCCCGAAAAGCACTACATAGATGAAGAAGAGGAGACAGACCTTAAAAATTATTTCATGAAGATGATGGAGAGCCTCAAAGAAGAAACGAGGAAATCCCTTAAAGAAATAGAAGAAAAAACAAACAAAAAATCCATGAAATGGGGGAAAAATTCAAGAAATAAACAAATCTCTCAAAGAATCTAAAGAGCACCAAGAAAAAACAACCAAGAAAATTAAGGAAACAGCTCAAACAGTTGAAGGATTGAAAGCTGAAATAGAAACGATAAAGAAAACACAGAAGGAAGGGATGCTGGAAATAGAAAAGCTCGGTAAACGGTCTGGAACTACAGATGCAAGTATCACCAATAGAATACAAGAGATAGAAGAGAGAATCTCAGGTGTTGAAGACTCATTAGAGGATATAGAGTCGTCAACCAAAGAAAATCTCAAAACCAACAAATCCTTAACACAAAATATCCAGGAAATATGGGACAACATGAAGAAGCCAAACCTGAGAATAATAGGTATAGAAGAAGGTGAAGAACTTCAACTTAAAGGTACAGAAAACATATTCAACAAAATCATAGAAGAAAACTTCCCTAACCTAAAGAAAGATATGCCTATGAAAGTACAAGAATCTTACAGAACACCAAATAGGCTTGACCAGAAAAAGAAGTCACCTCGCCATATAATAATCAAAACATCAAACCTACAGAGCAAAGAGAAAATATTAAGAGCAGCTAAAGAAAAAGGCCAAGTAACATACAAAGGCAGACCTATCCGAATTACACCTGACTTCTCAATGGAAACGATGAAAGCCAGAAGATCCTGGTCAGATGTCCTACAAACGCTAAGGGAACAAGGATGCCAGCCCAGACTACTATATCCAGCAAAGCTCTCAATTACCATAGATGGAGAAAACAAAA